TTTTTTTTGGGGGGGGGGGGGACTTTTCGTGCTGCAAAACGTGGTTTGGAGCTAGGCAGCTAGTCGGGAGTCGAGGGTTGATTCCCTTTGGACACCTCGAGCAGCCGGAAGCTCACGACACCTTCTGCCACACCTTCTGCCCTGCCCGAGAGGATAACTCTCCGCTTACTTAGGCGGGGGGTATCTGCAGCAAGAAATGCATCGAAACCCAACCCTAAACTGCTGGCAGTCACAGTCTGGGATACGGCCTAGGGCTAAGGTGAACCGGTGACAAACTACTGGCTAGCGCTTCGTCTTGGAGTTTCACGGTTGTGCGGAAAAATTCCCCTCCTCTCCGGTGAACATCAAGCTCCCAGACCCGGAACGGTGTCAAAGCCTGCTCTGCAAACCCTCTGAATCCCATCGTCTTTCGAGCGATTTACACCTTAAATCCGAAACCCCCAAGTCCTAAATCCTTAGACCCCGACATTTTCGACCCAAAACCCAAGCTCCTTCATGCCTGCAGCACAAGGAAGGCAGCACATGCCCCAGTGGTGGCTCCATCCCCTGTGAGATGAGGGGCTCCTGGCGACATTTCAGGTGGACTGCGATTCCTAACCATTGACACAATTCGTGGCTGTTGTGTCCATATGGAATTGAAAGGGTCTAAATATGTTCCCAATACCGCCTCAGAAGGTTTTTGGGTGGAGGTTCACCTCCCTCGGTTCCTGGGTGTATGTAGAAAGACAGGGGGGAGATGCCAAGGGTCTTGAAAACCTGAAAGTCTCTACGGGAGATTTCTTACTCCCTGGGAGTGTGCGCCTCGGAGTTGCGAGAAGCCTAAACCGAAACTTGAAACCCCTACAGTAGAACCAAGCTTTGGGCTTGGATTCGGGGTGTGAATTGCGGAACCTTCCGTTTTCCTCTTGACTAGACTGCAAGGCTTTCCGAGTTTTAAAGAGTTTCCAGGCTTCTGGGATTTCGGAGTTTGGGGGTGATTTTCAGGGTTTGTGGGCCAGCTAGGGTTTACATTTTAGGGTGTCGGTCTTCTGTTAAATGCCATGCCTGCTCAGACTTATTTACTTCCCCACGCAGGTTTCCCGCCGGTGTTTTCGCGGTTCCGCGGCAAGTCTCTGTCCCTGCAGCTGGGCTTTTGCATTGGCATGGTGAATTTCAAGTTCTAGCAATGCTGTGCGAGACTTCGAGTCTGTTTCGATTATGGTGCCAGGGCCATGGTGGTTACCAGAGGTTCAGGGTGGGTGGGTTAGGTAGACTCACTTGGGACTATGTCAGCTGCTTCTTAAGCTTCAGTTTTTGCAGGCAGCTGGGTCTTGCATTGCCGACTTGAGATCTGAAGCCGAGGAGAAGACCGTGATCGAGGGCGTGGCGAATCCCAACAGCAACGACCCGAGGACGAAGCCCAACTATCGCAGTCAGACCGTCTTTGTTGCAAACAGTGGGGTGTCTCTGCTGCATGGTGGTGATGGTGGTTCTGTTTGACGGTTGTGCTTGCGACTGTAGTGTTCTGCGTTAGTCCTGCTTCGGTTGTGATCACTGTCCTGTTTTGCTTTGTCTACGAGCATCCTTTGCTGCAGCTTTGGTGGTGATTGTGGACGGTTGTTACTTGGGGTGCTCGGTTCGCGGCCCTCAGATCTTGCGAGGGGTTCGCTCCTGGTATAGATTCGCCTCTGATTCTTCAGTGCGTTGCGAGCCGTTCGCTTATCTCTGCTCCCTTTCAACTGGTTCGCTCCTCTCTCTCTAATTCTCCAGTCCTCTTCGAACGGTCTGCTCCTCTTTCTCAGATTCTCTACTCTCTTTCGAACGGTTCGTTCTTCTCACAGATTCTCTAGTCCCTTGCGAACGGTCCGCTCCTTCTTCTTTCTCATCTATGTCCCTTTCCAACTGTTCTTCTTTAGTCCCTTTCGAGCGGTTTGCTTCTTTGGCTCAGGTTCTACTTCTTTTCGAACGGTTCGCCCCTGTTTCTCAGATTAAAACAGGTGGAAACACCAAGCCGATCTATTTCATTTCATATATGTGTTTTTACATATTATACCATATCATATGGATCATATCATCTCATGTCTTTTCGTTTTGCATCATATGATACCACTTCATATTATGTTATGTCCTATCATAACATATTTCATTACATTCAGTTCAATTGTATGAGTGTTTTCTACTCTGTTCTGTGCTATCCTGTTTTGTTCTGTTCTGTTTTGGTCTCATATGTTGTATGTATTCTGTTGCCTACTAATGAGAATCTATGATTCTCTATATTATTGTAATTTCTATCACGGAATATGTTGTTATGTTGCCACCGTATGTTATCACAATGTGTTGTCATGTTGTATGATGATGCTTTATCGTCATATTATTATCATTATAGTGTATACCCCAAGACCTTCAGATGCAGGTATCCAACCACCGCATCTGCTACTGCCAAAACTTGGAGCGCACCTGGGAGCCCTTGTCTCCCAGTTCCTTGCTTGATTCGAGGGGCCGTCACACACTTTTTTTGAGGGTTTAGGCTTCAGGATGGGTCTACTATGTTTTTGAACTTATAGAGGGACCACGCCAGGTATGTTGCTATAGTTGTTCAGACAACTGTGCTATTGGTTTATTGTTGAGGTGGCTGCTCAGAGGGGGACTTCGTGCGCTGTTGCTAGTATATAAGTAAGTGCACCTTCAGTTACATTTATATAGTTACCTTACTAAGTGTCCTGAACCTTCAGGTAGGGTTTCGGGTTCAGTGGTTAGCATGTTTTTCCCGGCCTTGGGGGAACCGTCGGGTTTTGGCCGTGTTCAGGGTAATGTAGATCCCTTATGAATCAACTCTCCCACGTTTATAAGGGTTGAATCAGGATCGCAACATTGAGGCCCTTTCAGGAAGGGTGTTCATTAATCAGCGGGTCCTGTGCTTGGGTTTTCAAGATGTGAGGGCAGGGGGTTCCCCTGAAAGGACACACCCTGCCTTACGCCCGAACCTTGACCCGAAAAAGCTCGCGAGCAGCCAAGGAAACCCATACCACTGTCAAAGCTTGACCAACGAAGAGGTGAAACGCCTGCGGCCCGGGCTACTGAGCGGCATACCGTTTGAGGGGGGTTCTGTTTGGGGTTAGGGTTTCAGGGCTTTGGGGGCTTTTAGGGGTTAGGTTTCCAAGGCTTCGGGGTTGTATGCTGCTTTAAAACATTCATTTTCAGGGTGCACTCGGTTTCTTGTTGAGTGGTAGTCTTGCTTTTCTGCGTTGTTCTTCAGCTGCAGCAGCTTTTACAGCTGCAGATTCCGTGAGGTTAGCCCGTCAGCGCCTTTGAAAGCTTTTGCAGCTCTTAGTCTCTAGTTACACCGAACCAGCCACTGGACGTTGGGATAATCTCCCTACCCACTCAAACACATCGAGCGAGGCGAATGCACCACAACGCCTTAATGCAGCCAGTTTGAGCCGATTGGATTTTGTACCCAGCATGCGCAGCCCACGACCGCCCAATCCAGGTTCCTGATGTACTCCAACACCTTGGTCAAAAACATTGCATACCAAGGGAAGGACTGCCGTAGAACCTTCACGGTGACATTCGGTTTCCTAGGCAATTTCTTGACGATTGTCCTGTTCCCTTTCTTCAGATACCAACAGTAGTGAATGTTCAATTCTGCTTTGTTTGTTTCTGGTGTTGATGTTGAATGTTTCTCGCGGCTAATTACTGCCGATTTGTTGTGTGTTGCTGTTGCTGCAGCAAGGGTTGTGGTGGTTGTCCTAGGTTCGTAAATGATTTCACTGTCTATACGTTTCATCTTCCCTCTATTAGACCCGGAATCATTCTGGCCAGGATCAAGGTAGAATTGTTTGTTCCTGCTACCTGATGTTGTTGTTCTTGCTCCTGCTGGGCTTCCTTCTGATTCCCGTTGCTGTCTGTCTTCATACAACAACCTCGAGGCCCTAGCCCTAGTCTTGTGCACCTAAGTCTCCCTCAGAGTTCCTGGTCGTAGCAAACTTCTGTCAATCAGGTATTGTGGTTTGAGCTTTAGGGTTTTCTTGGGTTGGCAGTGTGAGGAATAGGATCTCGTACGGTTCAGGTGTTTGTGAGCCATAGAGCTCGGTGAAATGGTAGCCCAGGAGGCACCCGAATGTTGAAGCGTGCAACCCCATAGGCAATAAGTCTACACCTTTGCACCCCCAAAGCTTCAGCCAACTATATGTTACAGGTTACATCTGTATATATATATATATATCAAGTTGTACACTGCGAATTTAACGCTTTGTCCCTCTCCCTCTACATGTATGTGTATATATATATATATGCATACACATTGCGGGGTCCTCGTAGAGTGTGACAAATGACCTGAAGACGCATCCGCATTGTGAAGATGCATTCGTCAGAAAAAGGCTTAATTGGCGTAGACGCATTAGCAGGCGCAAACGCATTCGGAAGACGCATTGGATGAAGACGCATTGGAAGACGCAGACACATTGGGAGGCGCAGACACATTGTGAAGGCGCATTGGGTGGGGCAGACGCATTGCGAAGACACATTGGATAGGTGCAGACGCATTGCGAAGGCACGTTGGGGTATCAAAAACGCGGCTTGAGAAGACACGTTGCGAGGCTGCGGCCCAGGTAGGCACAGCCACATTGCGATTCCGCTTTCACGACATAGCGTGGTTGTTTGGCCAACAGGACCAAAACAACCCACCCCCCAATTCCATCTCCACACGTGCTCCTTATTGAGGGAGGAGCACGTATGGAAATGGTGCAAGCTGTATCTTCTGACGGTCAGAAGTACCCTATAGGCATCCTCATTGGAGCTTGGCTAGAGTCTATGAACTCTGATTTATAAGTCAGGGGCGCCCCATCAGGTCATGGCTCCATCGTCGGAGTTCAAATTTCGTTAGAGTTCTGACTTGGTGCCCCATCAGTCCAAGGATCCACCCTCGGAGTAAAGGCTTTGTCGGAGCACGACCCATTTGGCGTCACCACCTAATGTGGTGTCCGCAATTCTGCGTCACCACCTAATGCGGCGTTACCAATCCGGCGTCACCACCTAATTTAATGCAGCGTCGGCAATTCGGCGTCACCACCTAACGCAGCGTCAGCAATTCGGCGTCACCACTTAATGTTCGGCGTCACCACCCAATGCGGTGTCAGGAGACAAGTCGGCGTCATTACCCACTTCGGCGTTATAGGGGACAATTCGGCATCAGACAATGTGGATTCGGCGTCACCTAAAACAATGCGGTTTCTGGAATTCGGATTCGGCGTCATGTCGTTTGCCACACTCCCCTATATATAACTATGCATATGTATGTATGTATGTATGTATATATATATATATGAATTTAATTTTCTGCATGGATAGATAGATAGATTGATAGGTAGATACACATACTACGTCCTTCAATCTACAGCAGTTGGGCCCTCACGGGTCTCGGGTTGCGGATTTAGCGGCAGCTGCAGACGTAAATAATTCATTCGCTCGTTCAGGTTGCAGCTTTAAATCCTTCACCAGAAAAGAGGAACATCACGAAGCCGCAAAAGTCCAAACACATGGTGAGGTCCAAACCTCTGACAAGTTACGAAAAGGCCTTAGTACTAATACCCTGAAAACGTATAATACGGCTGTACTATCGAAGCGTGGCTAGTATTCACAACAAAGAGCCTTTCCCCAACAAATAGTGACGTCAATTATGTTAGCTTCTATGTTACAGGACACCACCAGACCGTCCGACAACGGTGCCTTGTGTGGAGGTGCCCGCGGTTGATACAAGATGGGGTTGAGGGCTTCGGTTTTGGAGTGGGCCCTGAAGCTTGAAAGCGGACACCTTGGCCAAAGACACACTCCAGTATTTTCCGTCCTTTTGCGGGGCGCTCTGCCTCACCTTGCCTGGGCTTGGTTCAGGCTCTCCGGGTTTTAGGGTTTAGAGCTTTAGGAAGAGGATTAAGGCTTCGCGAAGTTTCGGGAGCAGTGAGGGTCTTCAATTTGTGCATGAATGCTCCCGCGGCTTCAGGGGTTCAGGCGGTGGGTTTTTCAGTCTCAGGCGCAACATTTGCTACATGCAGACATGTTCTCTTTTTCCAGCCTTCCCGCATGCATGCATGCATGCATGCATGCCTGCGTGCATGTAAACATGTAGAGCAGGGCTCTATGGACGGAGGGAAGGAAGGATGGATGGATGCATACTCCCAAAACAAGATGACAATTCGCGCTCAAGGTCCATCCACCCATCCATCCATCTATCCATCCATCCATATGTACATACATCTGTGTATGTATCTGTACCTGTATCTGTACCTGTACCTGCATGTGCATGTGTATGTTTGTATGTGTCTTCGAGTATGTGTGTATGTGTATTTGTGTGTGTATGTGTATACATAGAGCTGTTTTATGCAGATATTACCTTATGATTTCATTGTTCTCTATGTACAATTTAGCCTGCAATCATACAGACGTGGATACATATGTATAGAGAAAGGTAAGTGGTTGGATAGGCAAGACCGAGGCATGAAACCTGCAGATGCACCTCAACGGTCATCACACCCAGAGTTGTAAATGCTTGCTGGAATTTGCTGGCCAGCCTCGTCTCTAAACCCTAAACCTTAACCACTAACCTACGCTCTGAAACCAAGCTAGTGAGCCGAAGGTGGCGTCTTCGAGACACCCGGTTGCGTGCACAATCAGTGCCACTAGCCCGTGCTTAGAGTTCTTTTTGAGCACCTGGACCGGGTGGGTTGAGGGGGCTCACGACCGAAGCAGCCTGATACCGGGATTAATTCCTTATCGTTTGTCCAGCGTCTCCTTATGGTGACCATGGTGTTGGTATACAAACGGCGAGGACATGCTCTACCAATTCAAGGCCCCTGTACCATTCCTTGAGCCCCGAACTCCGCAAGCCCTAAACCGAAAGCCGAGCCCGAAACGCGAAGCCTGTTTGCTTCTGCACTGCTTTGTTGATACTGAGGTTAGGGGTTTTGGGCCAAGGATTTAGGGACAGGTTTAGGGTTTGGGGTAGTTCCGTCACTTTGTGACCAAAGTAATTAGCATTTTTTGTTGTTCCGGGTTGTTCCTTGTGCTTGTGTGACGCTGGTGAGACGAGAGCCGTACCCCTAAACCCTAAAACCGGAATCCAGAGCCCCATGCCTTGGTTTAGGGTTTAAGGCTTGGGTGATGATTTGCTTCGTGATGTGCCTTGCACTTGGGCTTAGGCTTGTTCTCGCATTTGATAACTGGCAATGGCCAGCCGGTGAGCAACGTGAGGATCGTGACTGAGTTGCAATGAGAAGAGGTTTTTCCCTTAGGCCTGCAGGCCCTACACCCGAAACCCTAAAAAGGCTCGACCTGACTCCACAAGCTCCTGACAGCAGAGCTTTACCACATCAGACCCCTTCGAAGAAGATCGAGCCACCCGCCGAGGCCACACAAAGTCAAACAATCCTGTAGCAACTAACCCTAAACCCCAAACTGCTACCCCCCTGAACCTTAAACTGTAAGCCTCACCCTAGAACCGAGGAGAACGTGCGTCTGAACGATTTCTCCAACGACCCGAACCATGCGAGTCAGCTGGCGGTGTGGGTGGCCCAGACAACGGCGCAGGCGCAATCGGTTCAAGGCCAATAGTCGAGAGTTTCGACTACGGAGACGAGATAAGATAGGGGTCTCAGGAATCAATAATACTATTACCGAACACTCCTTGTTATAACTTTAGTATAATGTATCCGTAAACACTGTTTTTAGAAGCCGGCATATCGCCAAAGGTGCTCAAAAATAAGAATCCTCAATTGATTAGGCACACGGTATTGGGAACCTGGAAGCAGTCTGGAGGTCTGGGCCAACGGACACCTGAACCCTAAACCCTAAACCCTAAACCCCTTGACGGGCTAGAGGGTCTGATGATCGAACTTTCGGGACGCAGCAAAAGCCCTTCGAACTTACAGGGGTCCTCCGAGGAATACCCCCGTCCCCATGCTCCCCATATTCCTACAATGCAACCATATCCAGAAACATACCGATTGAGGTCCCTATGATGGACTGAAGAAGCTCCAAGTTACTTCCTGACCCCAGAGGGCAAACCCCGAGGATGCTCGAAACAGTACAATCGGATAGCTGTAAAGCCCAAAAACCCTCACAGCCCGAAGCCCGAAACCCTTAAACAATACATGAAAGAAGAAGGGTTTAGGGTTTAGGAGTACGTGAAAGAAGAAGGTTAGGAGAAGCCCCTCCCGCGAAGGCTGGGGACCCAGTTGAAAGACCCTTTAGCTCAGCCAGTGCATATATAGATAAACATCTAACACCTATGACATATGTAGGTGTATTTACAACTTGTAGATAGATCATCTGTATGAAAGCACTTATATAGAGAGAGAAATAGAAAGGGATAGAGATGGAGATAGAGATAGAGGCTCCCTCTCTCACTCACTCACTCACTCACTCACTCACTCACTCACTCACTCACTCTCTCTCCCTCCCTCTCTGTCTGTCCGCGAGCCTAAACCCCAAACGTAAAACCCCAAATCCCGAAGTGCTGGCCC